TGTTTCTTTATAGCCAATATATTTTCCCGGAGAGTCTCTTCGTTACTATTTATTTTTGCTAGTGAATTATTAAAATCTGATAGTATCATTTCTGTCAAGTGCGCTTGCTCACCCTGGATTTTCAAAATCTTTTTATTGGAACTTTGTAGTTCATTTATTAATTTGTCATACTTTACTGCATCGTCTGAGTCAAGGGTTCCGAAAAGGGTTTTCAATCCTGTTCCAAAAATATTGAACCAACCTCTACGGGTTCTTTTTGAGTTCGGTAGCAAAAACTTAATTTCCTTTAATTTCGTCTCTAATTTATTTATACTTATTTTCAATAATGTTGAGTGCATTGTGTTGAAATTGCTTCTGTTAATATTATCGCCTATCTCGTTTAGTTCTTTTTGATATATACCAAGAACAATGAAATTTTGGAATAGGGGGGTTAAATCTTTATAAATCAGAATATTGTATTTAGAATCAGAGGGGAGAAGGAGTCCTTTTTCTTCGAGATGGATTCCACTATCAGGTAACTTTTCTACGAGGAGTTGCTCGTGGGACCATCTAAAAATGATATAATCCTATAAGGTTTTATTTGCTCAGTGCTTACTATTGTAAAGTCTTTATTATTGTTCTTTTTATCTAATTTAACCGTATTATGGGAAATAATTTCAACTATAGTATATGGTCCAAGCCATTTACATTGACCTTGTTTATTTAGTAATTGGTTTTTTAGGAACACTTTGTCATTTATGGAATATTGAGGTATAGGGGTTTTAATTTTGCTATCGTACTTTTCTTTTACCTTTATTTTAGTATCAATTTGGTTTGAACGGGCGACCTCTCTTAAATTTTGTTGTTTTGTTTTTGATTCCATTAAATAATTAGAAACTGGGACTTCGTTTAATATATCTTCGTCTGGATTTAAGAAATTCCGGTGCTTGAAACCGTATAAAATTTCGAACGGTGTCAATTTGGTAGAATAATGTGTAGAAGTATTGTAAGCGAACGTGGCAGAATTTAAAAGTGCCTTGGGCCCTAATTTATTTTTTTCTTTCGTGGAATATACCGCAATTGTATCCTTAAGTGAACTAATTACCCTTTCTACCATACCATTTGTCTTTGGGTGATAACCTATTGAATTGGTATGTTGAAGATTTAGTTCTGAAGTGAGTTTCTGTAGTATTTTATTCACAAATTCTCCACCTTGATCAGTGTGGATGCGTTTAGGAACACCGAACGTGGCGATAAAATTTAGAAATTTGTTTTTAATTGTTTCAGCTTCCTTATTCTTTAACATGTAGGTTTTCAGATATTTTGTTAATTGGTCTTGTATGACGAGAATATGTCTTTTATTTTTAATAGAGAAATATATTTCAGCTATGTCCATGTCTACGCGTTCGAAAGGATAGGTAGGAGTTTCAGTAATTGTTAATGGGGATTCGAAGTTTCGTCTAACCGTTTTGTTCTTTTGGCATTCTAAACAAGAATTTACGTATTCTGTAACGTCTTCCTTAATTTTTGACCATGTAAAATATTGTTGAATTTTATTTATGGTTTCATTGATACCTTTGTGACCGTACGCTGGTGGGTCATGATGCATTTTAATTATTTCGTGTTTTCTTCTAGGGTCGCCTGAATATTTGTAAGTGTTTGAAATTTGAATTTCTACTTCGGGATCTAAATTAAACTTATTTCGTAAGTAATCAATCATTCGTTTTAATTCTTGACTGGTATCTTTACTGCAAATAAATCTAAATAGATCACCCTTTTGAATAAGTGTAAATATTATGAACAAATTATCGAAGAGTTCTCTTTGATTTGTCGAATTATCTACAACATAAGTTATATTTGGGAATGATAGTGACGGTTTCAATTCTAATTTGTCCTTAACAAGTGGGTCCTGAGTGTCACGTAGAATGTAATGACAATAATTTGGATTATCCATCATAATTATGACTTCGTAATTGTGCTGTTTATCTGAAAATTTACCTAAACTAGTATTTTCATGAAAATAATCCCTTTCGTCACTAACATAGGTATCGAAATCAATTCCATTAGGTATATTATCGATGCCCGCGGTCAGAGTATTAATTTTGATCCTAGAAAGTGCATCTGCATTGGAATTTTGTTTACCGGGTTTGTAAATTATTTCATAATCATATTCTTCCAGTTTAAGTCTCCACCGGACGAGACGTGAACCTGGGTCTTTAATAGAAAATAACCAAGATAGGGGTCTATGATCAGTTATGATTGTAAATTTCTTACCATAAAGGTACGGCCTAAAGTGTTTTACTGCCCAGACAATAGCAAGCAATTCTCTTTCTATTGTAGAGTAGCGAACTTCTGCCGAATTTAGGGTGCGACTCGCATAAGCGATCGGAAGGCTTTTATTACTTGGGCCTTGACTAAGTACAGCACCAATTGCGTATGAACTAGCATCTGTTGTAAGAATAAAGTTTTCTTCAAAATTTGGGTATTGTAAAATTGGGGCGGTAATCAAACTTTGTTTTAATTTATTAAATGAGTCAATTTGTTCTTGCTGAAATGTAAATGCGATATCTTTCTTTAACAAGCCTGTAAGAGGTTTGGCGATCTTTGCATAGTTTGGAATAAATTTCCTGTAGTATCCGGTTAATCCTAAAAACGATTTTATATCTTTTGGACATGAAGGAACGGGAAAGTTTTTGACAGCATCTATCTTTTTTGGATTAGGTTTGATACCATCTGTTGTGATTATGTGTCCTAAGAATTCTGTTTCCTTTCGGAGAAATTCTGATTTATCCGGCTGAATTTTGAGATTGTGTTCTCGAAGTCGTCTTAAAACATTACGCAATTTATTACAGTGGTCTTCTAAGGAATTCCCAAAAATAATAATATCATCCAGGTATAAGAGACATTGTGTAGGGGTAAGACCTGTTAAGACGTTATTCATCATTCGCTGAAAAGTGGCTGGTGCATTAGCTAGGCCAAATGGCATTCTTAAAAATTCATAATGAGAAGTGGGAGTGGAAAATGCAGTTTTGGGAATTGAATTTGGATGAACTTCTATCTGATGGAATCCGCTAGTTAAGTCAAGTGTAGAGAAATATTGGGCGTGTCCTAGGTTATCTAAAATTTCCTCTATATTTGGTAATGGATGTTTGTCTGGGATAGTGATTTTATTTAAATTTCTATAGTCTACGACCATTCTCCATTTGGTTTTGCCTGAACTGTCAACCTTTTTAGGTACGACCCAAATTGGAGAAGAGTATGGGGAACTACTTGGTCTAATAATTTTCTGTTCTAACATTTTTGATACCTGTTTATTTACCTCTTCTTTGTGTACATTTGGGAAACGGTACGTCTTAGTGTGTATCGGGTTTTCATGGGTAGTTTTAATTTCATGTTTTACTAAAGAAGTAAAGGTTAATTGGTCTCCTTCTAAATAGAAAATATCTGAAAAGTCATAACATAATTTAAGGATTTCGTTACGCTCCTCACTGTTCAAATGGTCTAGCCTTAGATTTTCTTTTAATTTATCAAATCTACCATTTCTTTTAATTATATTCGGTTGAAATGCGTGGGTAGGTGCGTCCTCTAAAATTACTTTATTGACTGAAAATTTTAACTCTTTATCTGTCAAATTTACTGCAGTGGTGAATATATCTTGATTTTTGTCTACTCTAACTAGGCATTCAGGAATTAAAAGTTTATCACTTATATTCATTTTTGGCAAAATACCTTCACTTCCCGGTTTTAAGTTAGTTTTTATCCTAATTATTTGTTCGGCACGCTTGTGAAGTACTATATGATTAAGCACTTTAGTTTCCTTTTTTAAATGAATCGGGATCTTGTCGTTGTTTTCTAAGAAAGAAATGTTATTGTGATGTAAATCTAAATTGCAATTCAACGTTTTAAGAAATTCAATGCCTAGTATTCCATCTAATTCTATATCTAAATGTGCGACATGAAACTTGACGTTTTTTTCCTTGAATTTTGTTGTGATGGAACCTAATGTTTTAAACGAATCAGCATTTAAT